TTTTGTTTCTTTTCTCTGTTTCAACAAGAGCTAGATAAGGATCGAAAGAACTTATTTCTTCTGGTTTTAAAAAAATTAATCATACCATGTAATCTTTAATTTTTATGTACAGATTCTGTCCAGCAGTGTGTAAATTTTAGGCTTCCTTAAATTCTGAGTGCATAACTCTTCTGGACAGTTGAACTTGCTAGCTACCTAGATGATAGTGGAGGATGTATTGATATACATAGAGGAAGTATTATAGTCTTTTGACCTAGAATATAATAATGAAATACAGTAATATTAATAATTATGTAATGATTTGATTAAAATGTTGAGTCTTATGAACTTAATCATGAACCTGCCTTGTGACCTCGATCAAATCCTTTAAAGTGTTATATTTTTCCTTTTTTAAATTTAGGTGATCTCATATTTTAGCTTCCCTTACCTTAGGTAGAATTTTGCTTACATAGCAAATGGAAGAGCCAAAGAGTTAAGAGTTGGAGGACTTTAGGGATCATCTGCTATCTATTTTGTTCCCTTTACAAATATTTGCCTGGCACTGTTTTGGTTTTGAGGATACAATGAAGCCCCTGGCTTCATGGAGTTTACAATCTTTTATGAAAAGGTTAGGAAGAAACTATGTAGTCTTATTTAAAGATTCCTTATTTCATTTTGGTGGCTTTCAGTATGCTCAAAAGAAAAAGGATCTGGTCCCTTATATGCCAGATAGGAAGTGAGGAACTGTAAAGCAGGAGAAAGAGACCCTGAATGAGTGAACAAGGACAGTGCCTCTCAAATTTTTCTATGTGTATCAATCACCTGAGGATCTTGTTAAATTGCAGATTCTTAGCCAATAGGTCTAAGGTAGGGCCTGAGATTCTGCAATTCTGACAAGCTTCTGGGTGCTGCTTCTGTTACCAATCTGTGAACCACACTTTGTGTAGCAAGGAATTAGTGTATAAATAAGAAAAGAAGAATAGCCTGCTACCATTTTGAGAGGAGTGATTTGGGGCCATGCAGCACAGACTTGGAATTCTGAGCAGCACATCACTCAGAACTTGGCCTTGGTGAAGTGAAATGATAAGAGCTGTTAATGTTCATATACAAAGAAGGGGTATTAAGGAGGTAATCAACTGAGGTTGGATAGTGGGTGGGTCTAAAACCTTTGAAAAGATACTAGGCGGTGAAAGAGATGAGGATCTTCAGGTATGATAAAAGTAAATATCTAGTCAGAGAAACAAAATTTGTTAAGAGTTAGGTATTGACTAGGAGGACTTAGTTTGTAATTGGGAAGATTTTCTCTCTTTATACTTACTCTAATTGGCATAGTGATTCTAGTAAAAAAAAAAGTAAAAATAAGTGTTTGTTTTTTTTTCTTTAAATAGTATAATTTTTTCCATAGGCATATTCTGTGTGGAGAGTATGTCAAATTTCTTTGTTTGGGCTTCCCTGGTGGTGCAGTGGTTGAGAGTCCGCCTGCCGATGCAGGGGACACGGGTCCGTGTCCCGGTCCGGGAAGATCCCACATGCCGTGGAGCAGCTGGGTCCGTGAGTCATGGCCGCTGAGCCTGCGCGTCCGGAGCCTGTGCTCCCCAATGGGAGAGGCCACAACAGTGAGAGGCCCGCGTACCGCAAAAAAAAAAAAAAAAAATTCCTTTGTTTTACAGATCTGAATAAGCTTAAATGTGATTAAGTTGCCCTTCTCTGATCTGTTCCTCTGGTGACAGCTACTTGGAGCATAAGCAACCTGGGAATTCATTTATCTTCACAGAATTAGCAGAAGACTCTTAATCTTGGAGGTGGTATAAAATGTCCAGTGGGTATCAAGCATTTATCCATAGAGAAAAATTTGGCAAGCCAAATCTTTGAACCAGCAACCTTTTATTTAGTTTTATGAATTCACAATGCTAGTGTTTCCTGTTGTGTTTTTAGAAGTTTAGATTTTTTTTTCCCCTTTCTGGTACTATTTTAAAAGTAACATATTTTCATGTATCCTCTTTAATATAACACCTAGTTTGTTCCAATCTGAAGATATTGGGGAATTACTACTAACATCCATAATTTATTATGGCTCTTTGTTTTAGTGTCATTGGAACATGTTGGTTTCCTTTTAAAATATTGGGTTGGCCAAAAAGTTAGTTTGGGTTTTCTGTAAGGAAAAACCCGAACGAACTTTTTGGCCAACCCAATAGTTATAATATTGTAAGGAGACTTAGTTATTGTACTGTTATGTAGGCAGAAAGATGTGAAATGTAATCATGGACAAAATCTCAGTGTTCCTTTAATTGTATTGGTTCATTATGATTAAATGAACCACATGTCAAGTTTTTTCGCTAGTTATATACCCAGTGCGATTTCTGGCATATTTGAAAAGCGTTTGCTGCACCTATTGTTATTTCAGTATTTCGTTCTCTTTTAACATAACTGTTAAAACTGAAAGTAAAACATTAAAAGCATTATAGTCTGTTCTAGAATCAGGCCAAGGAAGAAATTAAGTAAAACACATTATAGGCTAAAAATATATTTGCGAATTACATCTGAAATTGTTTTGTTAGAGCATCTACTGGAAATGAAATTCAGCTGTTCTTATTCTGTGGGTTTTAAAAAATGTAGTTATCTGGGGACTTCCCTGGTGGTCCAGTGGGTAAGACTCCTCACCCCCAGTGCAGCAGGCCGGTGTTCGATCCCTGGTTGGGGAACTAGATCCTGCATGCATGCTGCAACTAAGACGCCTGCATGCCGAAACTAAGATCCGGCTCAGCCAAAATAAATAATACAAATTTAAAAATAAATAAAAAATAAAAATGTAAATATCTCAAAGTAGGTGTCCATACAAAATAAGTTTCTAATGTTTTCCAGTTTTTAACCCAGTTTTCCTTTAGAACCATATAAGCCTTTCCTATATATTCTGAAAACTCAAGATAGTAATACCTGGAAATGTAATTGAAATATGAAATAAATGAGAAAGTAATGTAAATGTAAAGTAAATGAGAAAGAAAATACAGATAAGTCTAACACTGAAAGAATTAAATTTAAGAATAAAATTAGGGTGTGACTTGTTAATATTACATCACCACGTTGGTGTGTAATTGAGCCTTTGAGGGCAGGAACTATATTATATATTTGTGTTTAGCGCACATATTAAAGGACTCTTTGTTTAGTTTTTTTTTTAAGACTCATTAGGAGCATATGTTTCTAGTTCTGGTAAAATCTGTTTTGTTTTTTCTTAAAGTTATTTAGTTAAAGAAAAATAAAAAGAGGAGTCTGGAGTCATGCAACCTGATTTTTTTTCTTTAATCCCAACCCTACTGCTTAGTAGTTTTGTGATGTTGGAAGTAACTTGACTTCTCTGTGCCTCAGTTTTTCTGGTTATAAAATTATTAATAGTCCATTTCATAAGTATTGTTGTTAGGATTAAGTGAGATAATTAATCCACGGAAAATGCTTTGAAGAGTTTTGGCACACAGTAAGTATTCAATAAATGTTAGTTGCTGCTAGTCTTTTTATTTGGGAACACCACTATTGCATTGTCTATGATGAATTTATTTTGCTTTTTAAAACAGGCGTGCATATCCAGGTTCTAATACGACAGGTTTGGGTGCTTAACATATACACTTAAAATTAGTTTTGAATAAAAATCTTAAGAATTTTTACTTTCAGCTACTATAACTTTAATTCCTGTATAAAAAAAGAGAGAGAAGCCATTCATTCAATAAGTCATTTTTTCCTAATAAACTTTATTGATACCTGTTCTTTATAAGGCATTGTACTAGGTGCTAGGAATGTAAAATGGAGCAAACTTGGGTGTGTCCTTCAGTTGTTCAGAGGCTAGTAGAGAAAGGTACCACTGAGTGTAAATCAGTGTTGTAAATAACCCCTTTTGTGCCAGCTCATTAATACATGATACATTTTTATTTTGTCTTCAGGAAGGTATATAAGCCAAATTTGTGGGTGGATTGGCCCTTTATTTTTAGCATCTTGTCATATTTACCACAACTCAGTGGTATCTGTAATCATTCCTGTTTTGCAAATGTGGAAATTTGCAAATTGAGGTTCAAAGAGGTAGTTTCCTCATACAGCTACAAAACTCAGTCCAAAATCCTACTTAATTTAAAAACTCATTCATTTTACTGTTCTACCTCCCGTATGTTTGTCGTAGGTACAAGACCTCTCTTTGAAGACTTAACCCATTAAATTGTATTTGAGGTTTATGTGTCTGTTTTCCTGTTAGATTCGGAGATTTTTTTAGAGCAGGGACTAGTCTTAAGTATTTCTGGGGCCCCCCCAGCAACTAGTAGAGTACTTGTCACATATTAGTTACCTAATAAAAGTTGAGTAGTGAATGAATATGTAGAATGTTAGAAGTAAAAGGAATTTTAGAGCTCATGTAAATATTAGACACTAAATTTCTAAAATACAATTTTTGATTGTTTACATAGGGCTTCAGCTTTTGATTTTGCCTATTTAGGGTATTTAAAACACAACTACTACTGTCTATCACATCATCTCATAAAAGAAGCCATTTTAACACCAAAAAAGTAGGAAAGGCAATCTCATAGTAAGCACAGTTTGGTAACTTTAAACCCATCTTTTTGGTCATGGCTGGTACCTGTTCAAGAATTAGATTTCAGGAACTATTATCTAATGCAGTCCTCTCCTTTTAGAGATGATGTATCTGAATCTAGAGAAGTATCCAAGTTCTTACAGCAAGGCAGAATGACCACTGAGTTTACCCAGATCTTCTGACTCTCAGCCCCAAATTTTGATCCTGTCCCCTCAGTCTTCATCACATGCTGAGATTAAGGCACAATTTGTGCCTTCACTAAGATCATATAGCTGTTAAGAAGTAGAGTTGGACTGAATCCATGTTACCCAAATCCATTTTAGCGAAACCTGTGCATTCACTTCCATGTAATTTTAACCTACTCTAACAGCTCCCATTCAGTTGTAGAGATGGAATTATAAGTGATTTTAAAAAGATGTCTATATTTAGCGTTTTCTTTCCTTGAAAATTTCAGATTTGGGGCTTAAACAACTTCCAGGGAAGAAGGCCAGTGCAGCTGCTGTTGCAACCCAAGATTTTGATCCACATCCATAGATTGGAATATTGGTGGGCCAGCCATCCTCAGACACCTCACTGAGGACAGGTAAGTGAAAGAGATAAGAAGGATAAGAAAAGTAGAATGAGTGCTAATACGATTCCTTCCTATTTCTTGTTAGATGCAAACAGTTGACTGCCTTTAAGAATTTAACCCTTTATCCTGTTAAAAACAAAGCATTTGGAATTCTAGGTGGGTGGGCAAAACATTTTCTTGATTGTAAAATATGTGTCAAAATGTTATCAGTGGTGAAACTTAGGGTAATTAAAATATTTTTCTTTTTGTATGTTTTTCCAAATTGTATTTATGAACTTGCGTTAGTTACCTATTATTGCATAACAAAACACTGGAACTTAGTGGTTTGAAACACATCAGTCATTTATTTTGCTCATGAATCCACAATTTGGGCAAGGCTCGCTTGGTGGGGACAGCTTATCTCTGTTAAGACGTGGTGTGAGGTGGGGTTGCTGGAGGGAGGAGGGTGGTGGCTCAATGGCTGGGAGCTAGAATCATTTTTCTTTTAACATCTTAATTGGAGTATAATTGCTTTACATTGTTGTATTAGTTTCTGCTATATAACAAAGTGAATCAGCTATACGTATACTTATATCACCATATCCCCTCTCTCTTGTGTCTCCCTCCCACCCTTGAATCATTTGAAGACTTGCTCACTCATGTGTCTGGTGGTTAGTGCTCTCTGTAGGCCAGAACACTTGCAGATGACCTCTCTTTTTGGCTGCTTGGCTTCCTCACAGCATGGTGGGTTCCAAGCGAGAGCATCCCAAAAGAGCGAGGCGAAGTTACATGGCATATTTGACTTAGTTTTGGAAGTCACCTAGTGTTACTCTGCTCTTTTTTTGTTGGTTGAGGTAGTCATAAAGGTCCACCCAGGTTCAGAGGAGGGGCTGGACATAGACCCCACCACTTGAAGGGAAGAGTATCAACATCAATTTATAAGAGCATATGGGATGGAATCTGCCATTGTAGCCATTTTTGGATGATATAATCTGCCACAATTTGTATTACTTTTAAGATAAAGAATATAAACATGGGTATAATAAATGAAAAACTGGGATATTTGCAGGAAATTATGGTGTATGAGTCCAATAAGAATTTTTTGTGCTCTTGTCTACTAGAATATAATATTGAAAATAAGATGCCCAAACAGGAAGAAGTGAAATAGATTTTGAATTTTCTTGCGTATCAACAAAGCAGCATACTGCTATAATCAAAAGTAGAGACAAAAATTTATACACAAGATGCAAAATAAGATTTGTAGTTCGGGTTTGTTGTTTTTTAGAAAATGCTAGTTATTTTTGTTCAAAGTTTACTTGGGTTTTTTTTTCCTTGTTTATTTTAATAATTTGAGAATTATTTGGGAAAGTGATTTCCAATACAGTATTTAGATTTGAGAAATTAGTGCATCAAGTTTGTCTCTCTGCTTCTTTTAAGAAAAACTATGTAATCTTTTTCAGGATTTTTTTTACCTGCTAAACTTCCGCTAAATAGGAAAATATTTTTTCAGTGTGACAGTAAAACTTGGAAAGTTATAGAATATTTGGTTGTCTTATTGATCACACTTACCAATTATATAAATTGTGGCATTTATATAATTATATAAAATTATATAGATCTGTGGCAATTTTGAATATAGCTAATACTCAATTTCTGGATGTAACGGGATGTTTTTAGATAATCTTCTAAGCGTTACATGAGGGTGTTGATCCATTCACTATAGCTGGGAAATAAGTTCTAGGGAGCAAGCGTCTCGTTATCTCTTAGACCCAGAACATTTTCTTGCTATCTAGATGCTTTCCCATTTCTAGTTGATTTATGTTATAATGAGCCTAATTCAGTTGAGTTGGTTCATTACTATTTCCCCACTACTCACAGGTAGATAGATACTTTACAATGGAAAATGACTGAACCAGCTATTGTGACAATAGAGGTAATCGTTTTTCTCTCAACTGTGAATAATAAGAATTGACTGAATTTGTGAAATAATATATTTTAGTTCAAAAGGTACAATAATTGGGAAAGCTGTTTTTGTTTTTCTTGGCATTTAAAAACAAGATGAGATGGTTTCCAGGAGAATTAGATTGGGAATAATGATTACAGATATTATAAAATAGTGTATCTTATACAACAACAAAATATGTGCATATATGTACGAACATATATAAAGTCTTTAAGCAACTAACTTGCTGCCTTTTTTGTTTTAAGCATTTTTTTAGCCCACTTTTGCGTTTAAGTAGTCTGAATAGGTGAATTGCTGATAACATCTTCAGGTTTATTGAATACTTTGCCTTGCCTCCTTTCCACAAGGCCAATGCCTGAGGGGATAAAAATCCCTTAAGTAAGTGAGATACTGCTTTCTGACTGAAGCTAAAACAAAAGACAATGGAAACTCCTAAAACACCATATAGAAATTGCAAATATGGTGGTGTTTAGTCTGTGGTACTTTATTCAATTCATGGAAGGAGGTAAATGATGAGGTTCTCTTGTAAATATGAATGGCTGTGTAAATATTCTTTTAAAACGCAAAAAGAATTTTGAATAATTGTGGAAGGCAGACATATTTCTTTGGGGTCGGTGGTTCTCCTGCTTACCATTATCTTTTGGTGAGATTCTTATTTCTAACAAATGGCGTTCAGTTCATGCTCATTCAGGTTTTTGGCAAAACAGGAGTTGTGTGACTTTCTTCTTGTGTGTGCCCCATTATTAAAAGGTATGGTACCTTTTATATATGAAATGTTTAACAAAAGTATTTAAAATCTGTGGCAAGGAATTGATTGACCTAGCATAAAATTGACCATATTGGGGACTTCCCTGGTGGTCCAGTAGTTAAGAATCCGCCTTCCAATGCAGGGGACGTGGGTTCGAGCCCTGGGTGGGGAACTAAGATCCCGCATGCCATGGGGCAACTAAGCCCGCGTGCTCTAGAACCCATGTGCCGCAAAAGAAAGATCCCATATGCCGCAACTAAACACCTGATGTAGCCAAATAAATAAATAAAGTATTTAAAAAAAATTTGACCATATTAATCTTTTTTTTTGGCTGCACTGCACGACTGTGGGATCTTCGTTGCCTGACCAGGGCTCAAGTCTGTGCCCCCTGAATTGGAAGCATGGAGTCTTAACCACTGGATTGCTAGGGAAGTCCCCATATTAATAATTTCTTTTTATAAATTTATTTTTTATTTTATATTTACTTTTGGTTGCATTAGTTCTTTGTTGCTGCACGTGGGCTTTCTCTCGTTGCAGTGAGTAGGGGCGACTCTTCATTGCAGTGTGCGGTCTTCTCATTGCAGTGGCTTCTCTTGTTGTGGAGCACAGGCTGTAGGTGCGTGGGCTTACGTAGTTGTGGCACACAGCCTCAGTAGTTGTGGCCCACGGGCTTAGTTGCTCCGCGGCATGTGGGATCTTCCCGGATCAGGGCTCGAACCCGTGTCTCCTTCATTGGCAGGTGGATTCTTAACCACTGCGCCACCAGGGAAGTCCCCATGTTAATCATTTTTAAGTGTACAGTTCAGTAGTATTAAGTATGTTCACATTGTTGTGCAACCAATCTCCAGAACTCTAAACCTTGCAAAACTGAAGTTCTACCCAATAAACAACTCCCTATTCCCTCCCTCCCTCTAGCCCCTGGCAACTAACATTCTACTTTCTGTGTATGAATTTGACCACTCTAGGTACTTCATGTAAGTGGAATCATACACTATTTATCTTTTTGTGACTGGCTTATTTCACTTAGCATGATGTCCTCAAGGATCATACATGCTGTAGCATGTATCAGAATTTCCTTCATTTTTAAAGCTGAATAATATTCCATTGTATATACCACAGTTTGTTTATCCATTTATCCTTTGATGGACACTTGGGTTGCTTCCGCCTTTTGGCTACTGTGAATAATGCTGCTATGAATACTGGTGTACAAATACCTCTTTGAGCCCCTGCTTTCAGTTCTTTTGGGTGTATACCCAAAAGTGGAATTGTGGTAATTATGTTTAAATTTTGAGGAACTGCCATACCATTTCCATAGTGTCTGCACCATTTTACATTCTCACCAACAATGCACAAGAGTTCCAGTTTCTCCATATCCTCACCAACACTTGTTATTTTCTGTTTGTTTTTCAGTAATAGCCTTTCTATGCAAAAAGCATGGACTTTTGATCAGATATACTGGAGTGAGTGCTGGTGGGGAGCCCACCTCTTCATACCCATGTGACCTGGAGCACATTTGTTAACCTCATCTGTTAGAAGGGTACAATTGTCCTTCTATCATTCAGTATTAAATGTTAGGATGGCCTGGCACAGTCTAGACATTCAGTAAATGTTGCTTGCCTCCTTGGCCCCATCACTCCTGGAAGTCTGCATTGATTCCTTCTGTGTCATCTTCTCTCCCCTGAGCAGCCAGCTCCAGTTGGAATTAAAGCTTGGGAAAAAAAAAATAAATAATAGCCTTTCTAACGGGTGCTAGGTGGTATCTCATTGTGCTTTTGATTCGTATTTTTCTAATGATTAGTGATGTTGAGCCATCTGAGCATCTTTTCCTGTGCTCGTGGGCCATTATACAAATATAAATATAGTTTCTGTGGAGAATATCTATTCAAGTCCTTTGCCTGTTTTCTAATCACGTTGTTTGGTTTTCTTTGTTGTTGCATTGTTGGAGCTCTGGGTATTAACTGCTTGTCAGATATAAGTTTTGTAGACAATTTTTCCTATAGGTTGCCTTTTGACTCTGTCGATTGTGCCCTTTGATGAGCAGAAGTTTTTAATTTTGATGTAGTCTAATTTATCTATTTTTACTTTTGTTGCCTTTGATTTTGGTGTCATATACAAGGACTCATTCCCAAGTCCAATGTCATGAAGCTTTGCGCCAATGTTTTCCTCTAAGAGTTTTATAGTTTTAGGTCTTGTATTTAAGTCTTTGATCCATTTCAAGTTAATGTTTGTATAGGGTGTAAGGTTGAGTTAATTTTTTTTATATGGCGTGAGGTAAGGGCTCAGCATCATTCTTTTGCATATGGTTATCCAGTTGACCAAGCA